GTTCCCCTGATTTCCTGGCCTGATAGCATATAGCCAGTTCTGGAGGGGTTTGTGCCGCGTTAAGGGAGATGGAGCTAACCTCACTTCCATGGGGCGGAGGGAAGAAGATTCCATAAGGTGGATGCCATGGTAGGAAGGTCTTGTCTGCTGGGACTTGCCAAATTCCCTGATAAAGGGGATCCCCAGTTTGCCTTCTCAGATACTCTCAGTCACTCTGGTCCTTTTCCATGAAGGGATTTAAAGATCAAAACCAGCATCTTGAATTGAACCCGGAAGCAAACTGGCAACCAACACAGTTTGCGGAACAGGTGTGTAATGTATGCCATTCTAGCATGCATTTTGCACCAGCTGAAGCTTTCAGTGATTCTTCAAGGATAGCCCTACATAAAGCACATTCCAGCAATTCAAATGGGAGGGGACCAGGCTGAGCATGACAGTGAGCAGAGCCCACTGATTCAGGAACGGATGCAACCAGGGGGTGTGATTTTACCAGTTCAGCCCGGTTTGAGCGAACCGGTTGTTACGGTGATGGTTTGGCCCCACTCACCCGCCCCTGCCCTATTCTGTCCTTTATTTCCAGGGTTTTCAGCTCAGCTGTTTGGCATGGCACAGCGGATTGCTGCTCCTCAGGTGAATTTACTCACTGGGACTGCAGCAGAAGGTAAGTTTCAGAGCTGGAGAACCAGCGTTTTTCAAATTCTGCATGCGCGTGAAACGAGCATTTGGTGTCCACGTGTGTAAAGTGGGCTCTCCCTGAACCGGTTGTACCACCGGTTGGATCGCATCCCTGTATGCAACTGGCACACAGCAGCTGTGCAAACAACAGCCTCCCAGCCAAAAGTGCCACCTGCTCTTTGAACAGGAGTTGTGAGTCTTCCAGGTACCCCAGATTGTGCCTCTGGGTTTATAGGGGGCAATGCCACCACATCCAGTACAAAAAAAAATGACACAGTCCCAGAACTGGGATCCACTCAGCCTTGCCAGGGTTCATCTGAAGCCTGTTGTTGGAGAGAGGTCACCTGGGTGTGAGCCACACCAAAGCTTCAGAGGGCCCCTTACATCAAACAGCAAACAGGACTTTTGGAGGAACCATACCGCAGTCCAGCGGAATCCACCGAGGCTCGTTAGTTGCTAATGGGGGGCAGATCAATCTAATGGGTGGTGGAGCTAGCGAATCCCTGGATAATCAGGGTGTGAGGTAACCATGACAACAGGGACACCCAAAGCACCCCCAATATTAGATCTCGGAGCCACTGCTCCAGGGGTGGGCTTCAAAAATTTTAGCAAAGGGTTCTCTGCCTGGTTGCTAGGTGAGTGTGCCCATGATGGGTGTGGCCTAATTGGCTTCCTGCACTATGGCAGTGGCAGGGGGGGCATTTTTGCCCTCCCCGGGCTCCGGAGGTTTTCTTTGAGCCTCCAGGAGTGGAAAAACGGCCTCCCCATGCTCCAGAGGCTCTCTGGAAGCCGGAAATGGGCCCATTTCTGGTCTTCCCAAACTTCCGGGAGGCCTGTTTTTCTCTCTCCCTGACCCCCCACATGCGCCCTGCACTCACCTGCATCAAAAATGGGCCGTGTGGGTACTCCTGGGAGGGGAGGGGTGGAGTGGGCCGGGCCCAGCCAGGAGAGGGATTTGGGGGTTCTCTGAACTGCACAGAATCTTAGCGAGGGGCTCTCCCGAATCCCCGTGAACCCCTAGCAGTTCACCTCTGCACCGCTCTGACAGGGACATCAGATCCGTTCCATGTCGGACTCTGAGATAGGCTCATGGCTGTTGTAGCGGTGATGAACTCCCAAGTCACCTCAGGCCCCATTCCCTGAGGAAGAAGATTGAACTCCCCAAAGACCACAAGTTTGGGGACTTCCACTGTCAGCCCAGAAATGGAGTCAGTGAGCTCAGGCAAGAAAGCTGCGGGGCAGCAAGGTGAATGGTACAATACCAGCAACCCCAGCTGATTCTTAGATCCCAGCTCAATGATGCAGCATCCCTGAGGGCCATAAGACAGTGGTTGGTTCTCAACCTGTGGTCCACAGATCCCCAAGGGGCTGTGATGTCATCACAGGGGTCCATCCAAGCTTGAAGAAAAATTATGATTTAAAATCTTGAGTTAAGTCTTGGTGATGGATCTAAAGGGGATCTTGTGGTAAAGAAAAGGTTGAGAACCACTGCCATAAGAGATTCCCCAATGACATTCACCACATCTCCACTCCTGCCCAGGATCTCAGCTGATGCTACATTTGAAACCCAGCCGGGCACAGCTTTGAAAGGGCTATCCCTCTTCTAGTTCTAGCCAGGTCTAAGGATCAAGGAGATGACATTAAAAGATGTCTCCTGAATCCCATTTCCTCTCCAGGTGGCTGGGAAATGTCAAAATTGGAGCCCAACCCATCCAATTCAACTCAACATGACTATAGAGATTTTCAATCATCCAGGTCATGGTTGTCTCAAAGGTGCTTTTTCAAGAGGCAACTGGAATTTCTTGTTTTTTTTCTTTGAAGATGTTTTGCTTCTCATCCAAGAAGCTTCTTCAGCTCTGACAGGATAGGGGGTAGGAAGGAATAGAAGTAATCCTTCCATTCCCCACTATCCTGTCAGAGCTGAAGAAGCTTCTTGGATGAGAAGTGAAATGCCTTCAAAAAAAAACAAAACACCCAAGAAAGTCCAGTTGCCTCCTGAAAAAGCACCTTTGGGTCAACTCAACATGGAGAACATTTGATAGTATGGAAGAAAAGGCTGGAAAGAGCCTAAAAGAGCAACCTAGAATCTGTACAGATTGATCAGTATACCCCCAATGTTCCCTCAGATGATGATTCTTTCATGGTCTGAAGGTGAGATGAAGCACTGATAATCACAATTAGCCTTCTGGAAAGATGTGGTTTTGGAGAAAAGTCAGGTAGGGGAAGAACAATGCAATTTAGTTGTAGATATGACAAGAGGAGCCAAGGTCTTAGGACCGAGGGACGGACACTGGGCTTTGGACCAAGACGAATACTTTTGTTTTGGGCCCCCAAACCAGCTCACCTTTGTAATAGGCCTTGAAGAGCCCGGTTGCATTCAATGGATTCATGTTTTCCAGCTCTCCAGGAGTCAGGGCAGGTCTTCCAGGAAGGGGGTTCCTTTCCAGGTACCAGGCTACGGCCCGCAGCGCCCCCAATTCCGTGATGTCAGTGTCTGTGAAGTCACTTGAAGAGATCTCCCCTGATTCATGGTTGGGGCGGAATCCGCTCACAATCCCTGCGTAAAGGAGCAAGGAGAGCAGCATGCTTGGCAACACAGCGGCCAGATGTCAGAGGAGGAAAGGAGTGTGTTGCCTTGCCTCTCAGCTTCCTTTGCTCTAGAACATGCTCTTCGCTCTGCTGGTTAAATAACTTGAGTGGCACTGGGGAAATCCCCTGCCTCTTCAGCCTGTTTCCTCCTTCAGGTAGCTAAAGAATCCAGGAAAAGAAATGCACCAGCCCTTCGTCATGCTACACGGGGCCCAGGTAAAGGGACATTAGCAATCGTATCCATCATCAAGGCTGTCCCTGAAATGGACACTTTTCTTCTAACAAAACTGCTGTGCCTCTAAAACACTTGGCAGCTTTTAAGTCGGGTGGACTTCAAGCTTCCAGGATTCCCAGCTTGCAATCAAGACTGTCCTGTTTCCTCACAAAATTGGAGGGCAGTAGGTTAGCCTAGGGGGCCAAACAGCAACCTGGTTGACGAGCTCAGGTGGCATGCAGAGATGGTGAGGATGCAAGTAGACTTTTTAGTCCCCAAGTTCTGCTGCCCACCCCAACAAACTGCGTGCCTTCCATTGTCCGATGGTGTCGAGTGGAAGTGACCCACTAAATTCAGCCTAGAACTTGCAACTCGGTGGGCCTTCTCCTGATTCCTCATTAATTCTTCTTCTTCTTTTTCTTCTTCTTCTTCTTCTTCTTCTTCTTCT